ACACACACACACACACACACACACACACACACACACACACACACACACAAACATTACTTATAATAATACAAATTACAATTACTTACAAATTACAATAATTTTGAATTCCTCCCCTTCCCTCTGACCCAGGACCCATATACCTTTTCCAGCTGTGTCACAGAGGATTTCAACTCTCCTCTTGTCTGCCATGATGAAAATGTAAAAAAATGTAAAAAGAAAAAGGCAAGAGCTGCTGAAGTCAGGCTGGGTTAGCTGCTGCCAGAATCCCCAATGGATGACTCTGCTTAACTGTTTTAAAAAAGCCTCTTTAAAAAGCGCCCTCTACAGGAGGAGGCGAGAGAACCATGTGCCTCATCTAGGTCAGGAATTTTTCAGCTTTTAACCCTTGCTTAACTCTGCTCGAGTGATCATAAAGTCAGACTAAATGAGGCACATGGTTCCCCTGCCTCCTCCTGTAGAGGGCACTTTTTTAAAGAGTCTTTTTTAAACAGAGTCCACTGTGACTCTGGCAGCAACTACCTCAGCCTTTTCCCTTTTAATTATTTTTTCTTTTCATAATGACAGTAGTGAGGCCCTGCCTCCTCTGACTGCACGTCACTGAAGCCAATACAGAAGGTTGTAAAACTATTTTATATTGTTATGTGTGTCTTGTTTCTTCGGTATTTGTTTCTCCCCCCCACCCTGTTTTTAAAGGTTAAAATGTTTAATAAAAACTATATTTTTTTAAAAAAAAGAAGACCTTTCAAGGTTTATGGGACAATATTTTCTTGCTTGCTTTACCTAGCAATTAAAGCAAATTGGATGCAAAGATATGTACAGTTCTTATCAATAATCACCCAAAAAAGAAATCTGATTCAAAGAAAAGACGTCCAGCAAAATGGGGAATATCAAACTCACTTCCTGGTTTCAACAAGTAAAAATATAAAACATACACATTTCTGACATATATTGAGAGCAGTGAGTGTTCAATGATCAGATACACACGAGAGCTGCATTTTTATGTCCTGTTCCTGCTTCTACAAATAATGGAGTTCTGATTTAATTGGTTTTACTTCCTTTTCGATGATCATCGCAGGAGTCTCTTGGATGTTTTCAAATAATAAACTCTATTTGTAAATATCGAATACCGTTACAGAAACAGCTTAAACTTTTCCAATAGCTAGGTCAAGCCTGCTGTTTGCAAGCCAGAATGCTAGAAACTTGGAGTTTGTGAGTTCTAGTCTGGCCTTAGGCATGAAAGCCAACTGAATGACTTTGAGCTAATCACTAGGAGATTGGGAGCTCTAGTCCTGCTCTAGGCATAAAAGCAGGCTGGGTGATTTGAGGCCAGTAACTCTTTCGCAGCCCAAACTTCTTGTGGGGAAAATAGGAAGTGAAAATAGCATAAGGTATGTTTTCCACCTTGAGTTATTTATAAAACAATAAAGTTGGGAGATAGATAGGTAGATAGATAGATAGATAGATAGATAGATAGATAGATAGATAGATACATAGATAGATAGATAGATAGATAGATAGATAGATAGATAGATAGATAGATAGATTAGACAGACAGGCACACAAATTAAATGAAGAATGCAAACATTTTTCATTCATTGAGTACAATTTATCTCGACAGGTAGACATCTAAAGGACATTACCTGTATGTGGGTGAAGGTATACATCTCTTACCTCTGCGAGGTTTAAGCCGATTTAGAGTGCCAAAGATGGATAAATATAGGGGTGGGCTGCTACGGGTTTGCCCTTGTTCAAGAGAACCTATAGCTAACGTTATGGCTTGTTCAGGGAACCTCCAAATGCCATCCCTATCTAGTTTGATATCCATTGCAACTTCTCATTTTGATTAACAGTCAGATATTACATACAAGAAAGCACGTACATCCTGCTAGCTTGCAAAATCTGGAAATCAGGGAAAGACAAAGAAACTGTGTGCACACCACTTTTTTTGTGTTTTCATGCTATCTCATTATTTGTCCACAACTCTGTTTTAAGTTTGGCTTCTGTGAGTTATTTCTGGCTTTATAAAATGATCATCCAATCTTTGTCTTGTCCTGGGGTTGTAATCAGACATAGTTGCACCACAGCTCTAAAGGAAAACAAAGCAGCTTTATATTTTAGTGTTGACATATTACACACTGGAAGATGGTGTTCTTGACGAATATATTTTTCAGAAAAGAGAAGCCTTTGTTTAAATTGCTATTAAAAAAAAGGGAGTTGCTAAATGGAAGCAAATTGGCTTTGGATCACTAGGAAATGTTCCCAAAGATAGCAACTTTCTTAAGACCTCCAAACATTTCCCTGATGTTTATTGTCAAGATTTCTGAAAGTGGTGTGAACACATCATTTCATAGTTATTTTATTTTGGGGGCCCAAACCTGCCTAGGAAAACAATGTTGGGATACCCAAAACCTTTTTTTTCTTTTTTTAAACTCTTTTTTTTCCTCAGTTAATTTTGTGATATTTTTTTTAATTGAAATCACTCTGAAAGTAAATATCAGGGAAAATGAATACAGAATTAAAGATGATTTGGCATAAAATCTGGCAGATGTCAGAATGACAAGATGTACCCCCATGATGTAGTTGTGAGAAATGTCCATTTGGGTTCAGTTCCAAGTGGGGGAAATATTATTTTAATGGTGGACAGGACCACATAGTTTGAGGTCCTGGGGAAAAAGGTGATCACATGCTTCCAGATGTTGAGTGAAGAAGAAAAGAGAGAGAGAGAAAAACTTGCTGGGGTTTTTTATATTCTGTTTAGCTCCACCTCTCTGTTTCCTGTTCCTGTGTAAGAAATGTATTCTGATTGGTTGTCAGACTGCCATGGGTCCATGCGGGGCAACTCTCTAGGCTGCGTTTTGAGTCCAAGTTTGGCTGAGTTCCCAGATGCCCTGTGGTGAGTTGGGTAAAGGGCTAATACTATCATGCCTTAATCCCATTACCCTGGAGCTGAAGGGGGGAACTCTTTGTTATGTAGAGTACACCACCTCAGGCATCTTAATGGCCCATTGAGAAAAGTGGGGACTATTAAGAGTGAGTCTGTTTCCTGCCTAAAAACGTGTTTCTCCATTTCTGATCCAGGGAAATATAATATTCTGCCTTTTCAATATTTCTCGGGATATTTCATTTTTTTCTAAGAGAGGGATTGACATCTTGTGATCACATAAATAGATTTTTTTTCAATGATGATTTATCCCAAATCTATTCTCCCAAGTTTTCCACCACCACCACTCTAACTGAATCCATCCATCTGGTAGCCATCTTCTTCTCTTTACCTTCTGATTTTCCCAGCAATAGAACCTTCTCCGAATTCACATTATCACGGGGATGTTGCAACAGTTTATAACTGTGAAAAACAATTACGTCACTTTTTTCAGGGCTGTTGTAATTTGAATGGTCACAACATGAATGGTTGCAATTCAAGGGATACTTGTATAGCGTAGAACCCAATTTGCACACTTCCCATGCATAGAAATGCAACATGAGGCAAAAGCAAAATTGCACATCCACAAATAACAACATACTGGCAGCCCCATGCTCTCTGTTGGAAAAATGGCTAGAAAGAATCCAAGAAACCTATTCTGCCTTTTTCCTTTCCCATACTATTCATAGGGTTCCCCCTGAATTCTGAACCAGGGCTAACCCTCTGTGCTATGCATAGCTATTAAACTGTAGGAAGTTAGCACCCACCTCTCTCCTAGGAAAATGAGATATTTTGGGAAATATTAAAAGGGAAGAATATTTCTCCTAAAAGGGAGGCAGAATCTCAGCCCCCCCCCCCTCTTTGTCAATGGGCCATTAAGGCCTGGATCAGTCTATTCTACATAACAAAGACCTACCTCCTTCAGGCAGAGCCATAGTAGGTATTGCCCAAAGCCCCTTTATTACATCATCACCCAGCAAGATCAACCAAGCTTGGGACTCAGGACACCTTACAGAGTTGCCCCTGCATGGCCCCAGGGGAGCCTGACAACCAATCAGAATACAAGCTCAAATTCATAGCCCAACAGAGGGTATAAATTTCTCTCTCACACACACCCATGTACCTTTTTGCCCAGGACCTTAAGCCATGTGGTTCTGTCCACCATTAAAAACATCTTTCCAAACAGCCACTATTGTTTCCAGTGACTTTCTCCCCATTTGGAACTGAACCCAGATGGACATTTCTTCCAACGAAACTATGTTTAATAATAGTTTATAGAAAACACATCTGGCTGTGATGGCAACACCCAGCAATCGGCCAGGGCCTGGGATATGCCTCATGCCAAAAACAGGCCAACCACATTGGCATAGTATAATCAATGAACTCAGAATTGGATTTAAACAACAACTTTTAAAAGAAAGATATGAGTTTTTTTTTAAAATCTCCAAATATTTTCTTTGCTGTTTTACAATCTGCTCTGGAATTAAAGAACAAACACACACAGAGATGTGCAGATATTCCATTCAAAGCTGACTGAAACAGCAGCCACCTCTACATAAAATAAAAATGAAAATCCACAGTTAAACCATGCAGTACTGATTAAGATCAGTTATGAAAGAGGTTGCAGTGCCAGGCAAATAAAATGTTAGTCTGCCACTTCAAGCATGATTCATGGATGCATCTCCAGGCAGCATTTTTTTAAAGAGAT